CTTTCTAATAACAAATCTTTTTTTCAGGACTACACCAGTCGGTGCATTTTTTGGTTGAACTGGCTTCAGGAATTGGCGCTGATGGACCAACCAGAACGCAGAGAGAGGAGGTAGAGAAGCAGGTAGAAGGAAGAGAGCAGGTAGGGAGAAAGTAGAGAACCGATAGAAAGTAGATAAGAGAAACGGTAGAGAAAAAAAATAGAGAAAACGTAGAGCGAAAAGGTACAGAGAAAAGGTAGAGAAAAGGAAGAGCAGAAATGGTATGTACATATGTTTCATTCCATTACTGAATCTCGCCCTTTGTACACATTTCTATGTAATGTAACCTATAGGTACTTATTAAAGACATTTATTATTATTTATTATTAAACAGAAAATGTGGAAAGAAGGAAAAGGTAGAGCGAAGAAGTGTAGCAAAACGGGACAGTGAAGAGGGCAAAGGAGAGGGAGAGAGAATGGGAAAAGGAAGGTCAGATGGGAGAGGAAGAGTGAAAAGGAAGGTTAAAGAGAAGAGAGAGTGAAGGAAAAGGAGATTGAAAAGGGAGAACGAAAATGGAGAGTGAAAAGGTAGATTGAAACGGTTGAGTGAAAAGGGAGAGTGAAAGGGGAGAGTGCAGAAAAGTGAGAGTGAAAAAGTAGTGTGCAAAGAGAGACTGAAAAGGGTGTAACGAGGTTTTCCTGAATTTAATTACTTGCTCGAGAGTGAGTTGTGGATGTTTACATTTTTGTGTATTATGAACACTAGATTTTGTGGGCATCTTTTGCAGTTTGTACAGTTGCCGTAAGTTAGATCTTTTGCCATTTTGTACTTGTCGTAAGTAACTTAATTTATTGAGTAAATTTTTGCAAAACCGTACCGTAGCTTAATCTTTTGTCATTTTGCTTGCCGTAAGTTTTTCTACTCCTGCTATTTTCACCGTCTAGTTTTTTAAGTACCGAAATTTTGAATTTGCTTTTCCACCGCATCCGCCGATTTGTGCTTTATTGCTTTCGCTCTCGATATAGTCTGCCGTAATTCTGTTTTAGTTTTGTCGAAGTGACCGCCGCCATCTGCTGGACCCGCAGAATTCTTGGAGTTACCGTTCCTCCGAGTGAGTTTACTCCAGAGGCTACCGAGACCGAACTACTACCGCCGACCTCCGTCCGTTCCTGCCGCCGTTCCGCCGACTCCCGCTGCTATATTTACTTACCTTAATTTGTTCATTTAGTTCTTTAATTAAATTGCAATGATTCTTCGACTAATAGTTATTTAATTCCTCAATCTCCCATTGTGCGCAAGCCCAAAGTTCGTCGCAAGGGTGACTGAAAAGAGAGAGGGTAAAGGAAGAATAAGAAGGGGCAGTGAAAAGGGAGAGTGCAAAGGGAAAATGGAAAAGGAGAGTGAACAGAGATAGTGGAAAGGGGGAGTGAAAAGATAGAATAAAAAGGGTGAAATGCAGCGGAAAAGGTGAACAGTAAAGTGAAAAGGGAAGAGTAAAAAGGGAGAGGGAAGAAAAGTGAGAGTGAAAGGGTAGATTGAAAAGAGAGAGTGAAAAGGGTGAGTGAAAGAGGAAAGCGAAAGGGAGGAATGAAAAGTGAGAGTGAAAAGGGAGAGTGAAAAAGGACATTGACAGAGAGAGTGAAAGGAGAGAGGAGAGAAGAGGTACAGCGAAACGGGAGAGTGAAAAGAGAGAGTGAAAGAGGAGAGTGAAAAGGGTAAGTAAAAAGAGAGTGTGGGCGAAAAGATGTAGCGAAACGGAAGAATGAAAAGGGAGAGTAAAATGGGAGAGTGGAAAGGGAGTCTGAAAGGGAAAGTGGAAGGTGAGTGTGAAAGGGAAAGTGGACGGTGAGTGTGAAAGGGCGAGTGAAAAGACCGAGTGAAAAGGGTAAGTAAAAAGAGAGTGTAGGCAAAAAGGTGTAGCGAAACGAAAGAGTGAAAAGGGAGAGTAAAATGGGAGAGTGAAAAGGGAGTGTGAAAGGGAAAGTGGAAGGTGAGTGTGAAAGGGCGAGTGAAAAGGTAGAGTGAAAAGTAGAGTGGAAAGGGAGAGTTAAACGGGAGTGAACAGAGAGAGTGAACATGTCGAGTAGAGAGACCCAAATTTGTTAATACGTACCTTAAGTGGTTGCGATACATTTAGTGAAAAATATTACTCAAACTTTGCCGTAGCGACACTGCATTCTAAATATGTGCGCAACGTTCTACGAAACAATAGCGAATCACCTCATGACTCATGAGTTAATGTTGCTACATATTCTTAGCCATGGTGAAGTGAAATGCACACTTTCAGATCGAATCAATTAGTATTAAATGAGGTTTGTATGGTTTTTGATTAAAAAATTTGAGGCGTGCCAATTATAGGAACTAAAAGTGTCATTTTAGTGTAGCCACAATTTCAAAGATGTCGCTTTAAGCAAAGATTACCTACATACCGGGTGGTGCACGGTAAGTAGGAACAGAGGGATTTAACATGGGAAATTAGTTTTAAGCAATATCCTGCCCTCCTGTACATTTTACAGAAAAAACTGTAGAGTTTAAAGTTGTTCAGAATTAAAAGATGCATACAAAACTGTCTTTGTTTTATTAAGCTTTTGGTACCTATACCCGCAAATTTAAAATTAAATTTCAACATTTCTGTTTATTAGTAGCAATTCATAAAACAACAAAAGTCACGGCTATTGCTACTAATAACAGAAATGTTGAAATTTATTTTTAAGTTTTTGAGGGTTTTGAGCATATAATATAGGGTGGACTTTGAGTGATAAGTATTTGAATACTTTTTACTATATTCGAATACTTTCAAAAGTATTCAAATACTTGTCACTCAAATACTTTAAAAATTTAAAATAGTACTAGATATACTTAGCAGGTACCAGGCCCTCCAGACCTTTCTTATATCAGTTATATCCTTAAGAACACGTGCACCAGTTTTCAAAGCGATCGTACGTCGTGCACATGACACGTACACCTTTCTGACATTAATCCTATCGATTTTGAAGCAGATCCTTTTCTGTCCGTCTATCCGTGTGCACGATAACTTGTTTAGAAACGTGCGATCGCTTTAAACATTGGTGCACATAGCCGCTTTGAAAACTGGTACACGTACGTGTTCGTAAGGATATACCTGATATAAGAAAGGTCCGGAGGGCCTGGTACCTGCTATATCTAGTAGGTATAACTATTTTAAATTTTTAAAGTATTTGAATGACAAGTATTCGAATACCTTAAAAGTATTTAGTATTCGAATACTGTTGATTTGCCTAAGGTAAGTATTTATACTACTTATTCAAATACTTTTTGAAAGTATTCTGCCCAGCTATCTGGCCACCAGGCATGTTCTCCGAGGACTGTCAAGACGCCCTATAACCAACCCTGGTGGTGCAGGGTGCTCGAAAAAGCAGAAAACTCAATTGGGCAAATTGTTCAAAGGCAAAGACGAGCAAAGCTATAGCCGATTGGGATGCCTCTATACTTAGGGGAGCTAGCTCGAAATCCACTGAACGAGATCAAAATTTTAACCGATGGAGTTCTACTTTGGCCTATCCGAGTACGCTAAAATCCATCGTCTGCCGCCTCAGGTAGGTTACCAAATGAAAACGTTGATAAATAGCTCTTAAACAAGTATTTTAAAACGTCATTTGATAACTCTGTAAAAAACAATTCTTATATAGTCCATTTTTCACGAACTTTCTACGGATATAACTAGGTAACAGTTGGATGGATGAAGCTGATTTTGTTTACAGACTAATGGTAGGTACTGCCAATGACTTGAAGGTGTTTCTTTTTTAAATTTTTTCTCTAATTATATGATCCCATATCGCTTATAATTACATAAAAAACTACAACAGAAATTCTTGGCGAGGTTATTGCCTATCCTAGAAGGGCGATCGAACTCACTCACTCCTCAATTCATAGGGAAGAACTATCACATATTTCTTAATGAGGATGTGACATCCCAACCAGACATATATTCATCTTCAAGGATGGATCTAAAACAATGAAAGGAACAGGAGGTAGGTATTGGTATTTACTCCAAAGACCTGAACTTCCATATCACCCAACCACAAGGCAAAGTCCCTACTGTATTCCAATCCGAGTTGGTCGGATGACTCACGCTCAGTGCAAGAAAAGTTCCTAGGCATAACATAAGGCACAAAACTATCAGAATCTCCAGAAACTGCCCTGCATGCACTTGGTCACTGTAAAATTACCTCCAGGTTGGTTTCCGAATATCACCATGCACTAGAGCAAGTAGCAATACCCTTGAGCTCATCAAAGGGCACGCAGGAACGGAAGGCAATGAGAAAACTGACGAGTTAGCCTGACTGACCTCAAAACAGGTGTTTTATGGGTCAGAGCTGGCTCTCCCACCAACTTAATAACTCAAGACACCACATACTTTGTGAATGGCCCGCCCGATAATTCACAATGGAGCTATCCTGGAAGCACATAGCTACAATTACAGCAGCCTCCGCTTCCATCATCCTTAGGTTCATTCACGTGTGGGATGGCTTGAGCGAAATTGAGAGTCAGACGACTCTAGTTGGGGAGGTAGTACAAAGGGCCCAAATTTGAGGGCTAGGTACGTGTGAACCAAAATGTGCGCTCTTGTAAAACAGCTGAAGTAAAGGTGATTTAGCCACTTGCTAGAATATCACCTTTAAGTTCACTTGTTTCGGTCATTTTATAATAGAGCACATTTTTCCAAATAACATATTGCACTTGCTATACAGTGTGGCCCAAGTAGTACGCACCATAGGGAAACGGAAATATATTTTTTCGTGAAGGATGCACGATGCACGAGCGTTCAATCTCAATCTCTTTCTAGCATCAGGCAAGTAAGAACATATGTTGAACGCTAACTTCAAACACAATTCAAAGATCTCATGGTTCCTTCACGAAAAAATACATTAATTCTGTTTCCTGTACCATGCTGTTTCCCTATGAAGCGTTCTCCCTGGGACACACAGTATACAGTGGTAATCTTTGCAAAACTTCTTAACGTAAATGGTAGATTTATGAATTAACAACTAATTATAATTTGTATTAAAATGTGAAAATCAAATACAAAATCCCTTGCCATCAAATTAAAACAAAAATCCGCAGTTTTTATAGACAGTGATAGTAAACAACAATTATTCCGCTTTCGTTTTCGTCTTCAATTTCTTTAGTTTCTTTAGGCCGTCAATATTTCCTTTAAGTAAACTACTGTACGCCACTTGAAATTTGTTTATGTCCTTCTGATGTACGACTGTTGCGATCTTTTTCGTTTTAAACTTCGCTCGTATCAAACACATATGTTCCTGCGGTTCTGGTAATGGTGGTCGTCCTTCTCGAGGAATTGGTTTTGTTCTGCCATCATCTTCAAACAATGGGATAAAATGTATGCATTGACTTCCAAACGAACTTACTTACATCTTTTAAATGTCATGGAAACTGAACCGCTCAGCCTGGCCTTTTGGAAGAACTTGGTGAGTTCCGACAGAAACTGTAAAGTAGATTGTTAAGTATTGATTGGTAAGTACCTAATTCGCGATACCAAGTCGTTCTCCAACAGCACCATTACGTTATTTATTTAATTTAATTTATAAAACAACTTCTGTGCACATTAGACGTTAAAGGCGAGTCTAACCTCCACGTTCTTTAAAAACAAGTGACACAGTGTTGCCAAAGCCACAACCTACTAACTAAAGAATAGCCTACACCAGATATACAGAGTGAGGCAGTAATATTCTGCTCGCCAGGACACACAACACCTGATGCCGGTCTACAATCGTATGGTTTAATATGAAAATCATATAGTTTAAGGACCATTCGCACCTTAGTATGGCAGTATGCAGTATGGGGCTTATGGAGAAACAGTACATGCTTGCCAAACTTATTATAGGATCGATTACTGCACCGTAAAACGGTAGTTTAGACACTATTTATTACTTTTTAACCTAACCTCAGAAGTCAAAAAGGTAAATTAATAACAAGTTGTAATTGTTTGTCAAATGTGGCCGAGAACAGCTTGTATTTATTAAGTCCCCAAAAATTTACAAATGTACAGTATACATATTAGTCACTGGAATCGAATTGAAATTCATCGGAAGATGACTGCGACACTTGAATTATAAATTCTTCAACATCATCTTGAAGATAATCTGCTGCCCACATGCCATCTTCGATAGTTTTCACGTGATTGACATAATGTTGCCAATTTTGAACCGTAACTTGTGAATAACCCATTTTTATTAATTCTTCCATGTCCTTTATTTTAAATGTTTTGTTATTCATTTTGATATGATGTTTAACTTGAGCCCACACCATTTCAATGGGATTTAATTCACAATGGTATGGAGGTAAACGGAGAATCTCGTAACCTTTTTCTTGCGCAATAACATCAAGCTTATTTTTGTCGTAGTGATGCCGAACATGCGCAACAGAAGCCAGTAGGTCTCGTTTTAATGGATTTTCTTCAATCGGTACATTTTTCTCACGAAGCCAATCTATAATGTGTTCTTTTCTCCACGACATTGTTGGTATCTTCTCCAACTTTCTACTGTGGTACGAGGCATTGTCAATAACAATGACTGAATTCGGTGGCACATTTGGTAGAAGCTGTTCAAAAAACCACTTTTCATAAGTGTCTGCATCCATTTCGTTGTGTGCATCAGCAGTGTTCTTTTTGCAGAGAAAAGTCAGTTCCGCGCCCGGAATAAAACCATTATCACCACCAGCATGTACTAACGCAAAGCGAGGCCCTAGACCAGTGGGTGATTTTAAACCTGTACTGAGTCCTTTGATGAATGCCTGACGATTGCTTTCAACGGTGGTGTCATGCCACGCCCTGCTCACCGAATGACCAATGTTAACCCATGACTCATCCGTATACACAATATTTTTACCTAAAATATAAATATTATGTAATTTGCAATTAAATATAATAAAAAGATTAAGCACCTTCTTCTCTCAACTTCCTGATGCGACGTAGGTATTTATGTCTCCATCGTATAATATCATCCCGTTCAATAAGGATACTCTTGCGGCCAACCTTCTTAAATTCAAAACCCATATCTTTCAAGAGATTGAATAATGTGGTGCGTTTAAAGTTGGGTAGATCGTTATCGTCATTTACGGAAGCTAAGATGCTGTTCATAGTTGGTGGAATATTTGTAATGAAGAAGTTATGCACTTTACGTCAAATAACTGATTGCACATTTTCATCATACACATGAAGACGATCATTGCTTTGTTTCCCTTTTCTTTGCTTGCGTTTTTTCGGGCTTGATAACCTTCGTTTCCGTCTTCCTTTTTAATGGCATAGATGCTCCGTTCAGAACAACATAAAGCTTTACTTGCTTCTTTCACAGCTGCAGTAACGTTCATCGTTCCCGAGAAATAGTTCAGCACGTTGATAATGAGGTGTTTCTCCTTCCGGCTAAAACACTCTCCTTTATGGCGTTTCACGTTAGCAGATCCTGCTTCAGCTTCGGCTTCCATTTAATGGGATATTCTAAAAAGATGAAATCAAATAACGGTTCTACAAGAACACTCAAAGTTACCTTGTATATAAAGTACGAGATGGAGGCGTTCTTAAAAGAACGATTTTTAAAGCAATGAGACAATAAAATGTGTTAAATACGAAAGACAAAAACGAACCACACACGTAATGACAATACAAGAAGATTTGACGTTATATTTTGTTTTAAAGCTTAAATTCAATCATATGTAAGTTTGGCATCATTGCGGTAAGGAATAAGGATAGCGTTATTGAAGAATGACGCAAATTAGTAAAGGAGGGATATAGTCCATAAGACCCCATACTGCATACTAAGGTGCGAATGCTCTATAGTAGCACATTTTTTTAAACAATTGATTATTGTTGATTTGCAGGCTCATTCAAATTCGAGGGCCACCATGGGGATCTCGGAAACTGTAAGAAATAGGTAGGTAGTTTAAATTTGGCAAAGTTGCATATTTTGATGCTTAACAAAATGCCGTTTTGAAACTAAAACAACTCCGACTACTTTCGGAGATACCATGAAAAAACGAAATTTTGCAAAATCGTTTTTATTTTTTGTTGAAGTTATTAAAAAATATATTTCAAAATTAACGACACATTATTATGGCCACTTTTTCCCTGTACAAGATGCTAGTTTTAAATTTTAAAGTTGACGTTTCGTCTCCGGTTAACCATCATCAACTTTGTTTTTTCTTATGGAACTCATTTTTACTTTTTGTGTCATTTGATAGTGCATTTTTCTGATTTTAAAATTGTAAACATCACTATTTTTTAATTTTGTTAAAATAGCTTCTTTTTTGCATGGCAAACTTTGTTTGTTTGCAGTGTTTGTTCGTAGATTCTTGCATTTTTACGAATTAATAGCGCCATTTCTTATTAAAAAATAGTTATATTTACATTTTTGATACAGAAAAAAATGCTTTATTAAATAACACAAAAAGTAAAAAGACTTTTATAAGAAAAAACCAAGTTGATAGTTAACCGGAGACGAAACGTCATGCTTAAAATTGAAAACTAGCATCTTGTAGAGGGAAAAAAAGTGGTCATAATAATGTGACATTGTTTTTAAATAATTTCGGTAATAAAGATTTTCATTTTTTTCAGGATATGTCCGAAAGTATTCGGAATTGCGGCCATTTTGCTGTGAAATGTGTTAGGTTTGATGTGGAAATTAGCCAGGAAGCAATAACTCGGTTAATTACATTTATATATTGAAAACGAACATTGAGAAAAAGAACTTAATACAAAACACATGGTACAACTAAAATGACATTCATACACTCCTACCTTACATCTGCAGTGTTGCCACTACTACTTAATTGCTATAGGTTTGTAAACCAAAATGTGTATACTAACAAAATGGGTCACGGGTGGACGGGTCATGGAGATTTAATGAAACGATTCTCATATGGGACAACTTCCGTAACTGTTTAGTGTAAGTATTAATACATAACTATTTTGCCGCTTATTTATTTATTTATTTACGTTTATTGATCTCATACACGAAAACAAAAGTAAGAGATACGTCGATTAAATTATTGGAAAAAGCTAGCTATTGATACAGAAAATCAGATATATTATAGTAACAATTTTGGATTAACATGTGCTTTAATCTATCTTTGAAGATCGCTTTTGTTGGTGCATCTATTATCTCCTTGGGCAGTTTGTTATAGATCCTAATCGTCATACACTTAAAACTGGCATCAGTCAGCCTTAATCGATGTTGTGGTAATAGTAACTTCTTGCCGAATCTTGTACATCTCCCGTGAATGGCTATGTTTGTACGAAATTTGTTGAGGTTCCCTCTGACATAGTTAGCCGCCTCATATATATACAGAGAGGGTAATGTCATTATGCGTAGCTCTTGAAATAATGGTTTGCAGGATACCCCACTTTTGGCACCCACCAAGCATCTTATAATTTGTTTTTGACTAACAAAGACACCCTTTGCATAGTTTGAGTTACCCCATAGCAGTATACCATATTGCAGCCTGGACTGAACTTCAGCATAGTAAAAACTCTTAAGAGTGCTGATATATACGACGGTACGAAGAAATCTGACCTGGTAGCAGACAGAGCTTAATTTACTTATAATATTATTGCAGTGGCTTTCCCATGTTGTAGAACTGTCTATATGAATTCCTAGAAATTTTGCGTTGGTCACTTGGTGTATGATATTATTGTTTGTCCGTAACAAGGCAGTATTTTCGTTATAGATTCTACCCGCATAGAATAACATAAAATACGTTTTATCAGTATTCAGGTATAACTTATTTGAGCAAAACCATTTAAAGAGCGGCTCCAGTACCTCTGTGGCATGACGGATGACATCTTCCAGTGCAACTTCTAGCAAAATCGATGTGTCATCTGCATACATGGTAATTGCTGCATCAGCAATATATCGAACTAAATCGTTCACGAAAGTAATGAATAACAGAGGTCCCAGAATGGAACCTTGCGGGACTCCAATATTGACATCTTGCACATTTGAAGTAATATGGTGTCCACCCGATGTAAGTCGTACCAATTGAGTGCGATCGTGTAAATAGGATTTGCACCATTCTTGAGCAATACCTCTAATTCCATATATGTGCAGTTAATAAATTGACATTCCGCACAAAAATTCGCACGTATAGAACCAAGTACAAGTAAATACAGGGTGATTCCTATAGTACCTGCCACCGTTTGGGAGCGTATAGGGGGTGCCTAGGGGAGTATTTTGATATAGGACACTTGGGGTCGGAAATCTAAAACAAGGGCGCCAGAACCAAATTTATCTTCTGGAATTTCACGCCTGTATGTAGGCAACCCAACCGACCGACGTTTCGCGCGGAGCGATGCAGAGCGAGTTAGCGCGAGGAAGCGACATGGGAGGGAAGGAGGGAAAACGACAGTCAATAGTATATTAAGTATGGAGAACGGTAAGGGATTTTTACCGTTCGAAGACAATTGTTTGGAGGAGGAGCGAAGCGACGACTCCAATTATTGTCTGAGAACGGTAACCCTTAACGTTCGACGTGCTTATAACATTTTTTGCGCGATCGAAATTAAAATTATCCAACCAATATAAATATGCACTAAGAAATGAACGAGCAGAATAAATCGAAATGATCAAAGTGGTATGGTGTACATCACTAGGCAACCAGTTTAAATGTCAAAATTGAAATTA